GGGTCACGTCAAGGCATGCCCTCACCCCTTCTGGTGTCAGAGGCTTGACCTAGGCCCATACGCTTAAACCTGTAGTGGTTGGGAGTGGTATGGACCCCGCCGGACGAGGGGGAGCCTGCGCCCGAGGGGTCAGGCGAGACGGCTCCCGTACCCTTGGGGTCGGATGATATGGGGCCTGTGCCCGTGGCATCTGGCGAGGCGAAAACCGCCCATTTGGGGTCGGTTGAGACTGAAATACGTCCTTCATTATCTAGGCGAGTTGTCGTCCGCGGTCCTCAAATCCCTTCTTCGAGTATCCTTAATACTGATACCCGACAAGCAGTATCAGAATTCAGAATTGTAGACCCCGAGGAGAATCTAGATAGGCATTAATAGAATAAAGCATAAAAAATATATCTCAAATGATAGGCTATGAAAATTGAAATGCTAAATCGGAACCATCATGTTTGCCTCCCAACTCCATAGGCAAGAGATTATGCAGTAAAGTAAGGCCGTATAGGCCGTATGTTAAGTCATCCGCTCGAGCGTTGTCGATTCTAATAACTCAAAAATCAAAAGCAGCTGCCACTTCAGTCATCAAATCAATAAACATTGGGTTTTTTGGATCGAAGCCATTACAATTCTTCGAAGTTGGAGAAATGCCATTACAATTCGGGTATTCTGAAACATGCCATTATAATTCTGGGTGTTGCTGGTGCTTGCCATTTTCTACGTATGTGAATAGCTCAGGCCCACTATCAGGTCGAGGAAGGCATACGTGACTTTCGTATGGGCATCGATGCCCTTGCTTGTGTGTTACAAGCCACCGTATCCCTCTCTCCCATTCATTCCATCCCCCACCCGTGCTCCTCTCCGTCTTCCTCTTCCTCTGTTCCCTAAGAACCCTAACCCTAGACTGTAGCCGCCGTCGGAGACCTGCGGAGCTACGACGATGACCTGCAGAGCTGCGACAGCGACCTGCGGCTGGTGGTGTCACGTCTGTGGCCAGAGCATCCACTGGAGGAGATGCAAGACCCATGAAGACGACGGGCGAGGTTTTCCTACATCTGCGCCATAGTGCTGCAGCAGAGATGGAGGACTACAATAGCAGGTAATGTGTGTGCGTCCACTGTTATCAGTTTGAGCACATAGTGTAGTTGACTTGTGCTTGCCTATTTACACTTCGATTTGGGACACGATTTGATTGTTGGTAGGAATGGTATGTTCGGGGTAGAGGTTAAAGTCCACGGTTTTGCTACGAAAGACTCAGATGGTAGGAAATCATAAACTAAAGACACTGTGATTAAGTGGGATGTGGAGTTTGGGTCTTTAACGCTTGAACTGTTGGTGTCAAGTATTGCAAAGGAATTGAATGTGCCCTCTAACCAGTTACCCACAGTGTGGTTCTTTGATAAAGACTACATGAGGATGTCAGATTAATTAGTGAAATTCAGATGGTTGATGTCTTTGAAATGTACAAGGAAGAGATGGGTTGTCAGCTTGTAGTGGGATTGTTTGATAATGATGCTGAGTTTGATGACCTACATCCTTTATGTACAATTCCTCCTAAGGTTAGATTTGAGATACCCAACAATGATTTTTCCATTGCCGATGAACCAAATAGTGTTGCTGCTGACAATCCAGAGGCTTCTGAACCCAGTACTGCTGCTGCTAACAATCTAGAAGCAGATACTGATTTAGAGCCTGAACAAGGTGATGATGTTGATGTAGAGCCTGAGAGGGAGCCTGATATCTTTGATAATCCTGAAGAATATGTTGGAGTTGATGATGAACAAATCTATATTTCAGTTGCTAATGCACAACAAGCTGCTAATGCACAGCCAGTTAACAATGCTTATGATTCTGTTGATGCTCACCCATCTGATGAAAATGCTTTTGCTGTTGATGACGAAGTTGATGATGTAGACCCTCTTGAGGTGCATGTACTCCATGATCCTGAAAATCCAAACATAGTGAAGGGGGCACTGTTTCCTGATATCATTGTATTTAGGAAAGCATTTAGGCACCATGCAGTGAAGAGTGGTTTTGAGTTTGTTGGGCTCAAAATAGACAAGACTAGGTTCATAGCTCACTGTGCTGCCGAGGGTTGTCTGTGGCGCATACATGCATCCACTATTTTTGATAAAAAAAACAATAAAGGTAATGTGTTGAACTGCTGCTGTTTATGACCTATTTGTGACCTTTTTTTGACATGACATGTTTGTGCAGATAAAAGTGCTTCCTGCACAGCACAATTGTCCTACCACCAAGCTTAGAGAAGGAAAGATGGCAAGTCAGGGCTAGTGTGCAGACAGGCTAGCAGACTGGGTGAAAAAGAATCAACTTTTATTCAATTGGGCTGCACAGGTTGAAATAAGTTCTCCTGGTAACATTGTAGAAATAGAATTAGAGACAATAGGTGAACAAAAAAGGTTCAGAAGGATATTTGTTGTTCTGAAGCCATGCATTGATGGGTTCTTAGTTGGTTGCAGACCATTTATTGGTTTAGATGCTTCTAGTCTGAATGGGAGGTATCTTGGGCAGTTGGTTTCAGCTACAGGGGTTGATGGCCATAATTGGTTGTACCATATTGCCTATGGTGTTTTTGACACAGAGACTGAAGATAACTGGAAGTGGTTCATGCAGAATTTGCACAGAGCTATAGGGGACCCTCTAGGATTGGTGATTTGTTCAGATGCTTGTAAAGGCCTAGAAAAAATTGTGGGAGTTGTCTTCCCACATGCTGAGAACAGGGAGTGCATGAGGCACTTGTACCAAAACTTCATAAAGCACTACTCAGGTGATGTGTTCACTGACCATCTGTATCCTGTTGCAAGGAGCTACACAGAAGGCATGTTCAGGTGGCACATGAAGAAATTTTTTGAGTTTGCTCCTGATGCAATTGAGTACCTTGAGGAACACCATTCTAGAATTTGGTATAGATGTGCCTTCTCAGAGCTTAGCAAGTGTGATTACCTAACTAACAATGTGTCAGAGAGTTTCAATGCACAGATTAAAAAGCTGAAAAGACTTCACCTCCGTGAGTTAGTTGACAGGCTGAGGGAGCTCATAATGGAGAAAAGGTACATTAGGAAGAAGATTGCAAGGCAGTGGGAGGATGGCATCCTCCCAGGTGTACTCAAGGATCTCAATGCCATTAGCAAAAATTTGAAAGTAGTCAAGGTTGCAACCTGTGACGATGGCATTGTAGAGGTCATAATATTAGATGACTGGAACAACCAGAAAAGGCACACAGTGGATCTTGAAAACCACAAGTGTTCCTGCAGGGAATGGCAAATAACTAGTAAGCCTTGCAAGCACGCCCTAGCATGGATTTGCTCTAACAGAGGAGTCCAAATCTCTGACTATGTCCATGAGTATTACTCTGTTGCAAAGTTTAGAGCTGCATATGAACAGAGAGTGGAACCTATGCCAGACAGGTCCCAGTGGCCTCATTTTGAGTTGGGATTTAAAGTCCCACCATTACTTGGAAGAAGACCATGCCTAAAGTGGTAAGGATAAGAGGTTGCTTGAAAAAAAAACAGTACAAAGAAGAAAGTAAAATGTCGAAGGTGTGGAGATTTTGGACACTTTGCCAAGACATGCAAGGAACCTGAGATGGGACCAGATGGCCAACCTGCTGCTGCTCTAAATAAAAGGTATGAAAATAAGTACAGAAAAATAATTTTGATCTGTTCACTACATACTGGTATGAAAATAAATAATTTTGAACTTATTTTGTAGGAAAAGGCCAGTTGAAGAAGAAGTTAGACCATCTCAAGTAAACAACAAGAAGAAGGCACCTAAGAAAAAGAAGACACCCCAGAAGAAGAAGACACCAATTAAGAAGAAATTGAAGAAAAATGCAGCAGCTCCACCTACACAGGTTGTTAGAAGCCTGTTTGATATGATAAATGATAGGCAGTAATGAAGCTACAGCTTATTTTGTGTGTAATGGCAAATGGCCTTCATGGCCTGTGAACTTGATATGTAATGGCGTTCATGGCCTGTTAGAAACCTACAGCTTATTTTGTGACTTAGGATATGTGGCCTATATGGCCTGGGAACCTGAACCTGTTATGTGAATGGCCTATATGGCCTTTGAACCTGAACCTGATCTGTAATGGCCTAAATGGCATTTGAACCTGATCTGTAATTTACCAGTATCTGGGTCTTGCTTCAGTTTGAGAAACTCGTTGTGTTGGACTTGAGTTGTGACTTGTGAGGTGCAGCATATTAGCTTTATCTGCACACAGTCGTGTATCCTCATGGCCTGAATTATGATAAAATAGCGATGTGATTTTCATATGATTTTATCAGTATCTGGATCTTGCTTCACATTGAGAAACCCATTGGGTTGGACTTGAGTTCTGAGGTGCTGTTGTGTATGAGCTTTATTTGCAAATAGTCGCATATCCTGATTGGTCTGAATATGATATAACAGTGGTGTGATTTTCATATGATTTATCAGTATCTGTGTCTTGCTTCAGTTTGAGAAACCCATCGGGGTGGAATTGAGTTGTGGGGTGCTGTTGCATATGAGCTTTTTCCTTGAGTCTTTGCACCAATGTTTAAATTATCTTTCTTGTTCAGTAGCTGCTATATGTTCACGCATTCGACCTTGTAAAACATGAATCAGAAAAATAACTAACTATTTATGGAATCCAGTTTTTGCAGCTAACAAGGATACGATGATAACACAATCCACAGATATAAACATGATGACATCAGGTAATATTTATGAAAAGAAATTGTATGCTCTGCATGTTTTGTGTTACTTATAGGAAGACAAGGCAAAATGTAGATGATCCGGACAATTGTCACGGCAATGCAGAGGCGCTGAAGCCAGGCGGATAGTTGAATCCATTGAGTGCCCAGCACAATCACAGATACCCTTCAGAGGCAATAGTTCTTACAACGACCAAAGAAAATCTCAGAAAACAAAACCATAACTACTACTCCTATCCCAAAATAATCGTTTTTAGTTACACCTAGGGCTGTCCACTGTTTGTTTCTGCTGTTCACTTCCACATACCAGCAACAACCACACCAATCATGACACCTACAAAGCCTACAAAGACAGCGGCTAGAAAAGAAGAATCAAGCACAATCTGCATGTTCTCGTTGTCGACTTTAGGCTTCACTGTAGGCATGTTCTTGTTGTCGACTTCAGGCTTCACTGCAGGCATCACCTCAATATGTAGCATCTTTATTTTCCAAACCTCTGCTATAACACTATCCAGTGTTTGCTTCACCAGTTCTAATTCTTCCTTCAAATCGGCGCAACAAGCACCAGCTGCATCCTTCACTGACTGCACCCTCCGTTCCTCTGCTTCCAAGGCCATATACTCCTTCACAGAGCGGATGTATGGGCAAGTACTATCATCATCCTGCAATCGAAACAAAAGGGCATAAATCAGAGATGAATCAACACACAACGAGCACAGCAATATCAAAAAACATAACCTTTTGATGTTGTACGGGTACTTGAGGTACCACTCGCCCTTTGTCGCCGGTTGCTTGCTCTGGATGTGGACCAAAGCAACATGGTAAAAGGGGCACTCCCTTCTACCAGTGGCCGTCGAGCTCGAGCCACTGGAAGTTGCCTTCATGGTGCTGTGACTCCACTTCCCGGCCATGGCTTCAAAGTTGGGCGCCGCCATCGAACCGAGCCTCAAGAGCAACAGATGCCGCATATCTCAGGTGGCCGTGCCAGACTGCTCCGCCGTGGGCTGCGACGTCGACTCAGGCGGGGGGTTGGATGCTGGCTAGATTCTAAGGTTAGGGTTCTTGGAGGAGAGGAACGGAGAAGGATGAGCGCGGGTGGGTAACGGAGTCGGACGGGAGACGAAGACCGAGAGGGCCATGGCGGCTTCTAACGCTAACAGGCAGGGGCATCGATGTCCATACAAAAGTCACGTATGCCTTCCTCGACCTGACAGTGGGTCCGAGCTGTTCACATATGTAGAAAATGGCAAGCACCAGCAACCCCCAGAATTATAATGGCATGTTTCAGAATACCCGAATTGTAAAAACATAAACATTTGAATCAGGACATGCTGACCTTGACATTGTATCCGCGGAACATGAGTTTTCGCACGACGATGCGGCTGGTGGCACCGACGACGAGGACGGTGGTGTCCTGCGCCCCCGGCACGGTGAACTCACACATGGGTCCTCCACGGATAAGCACGGCCTGCTCCTCCTCTGCCAGCGCGGTGGAGGAGGCGCTCGAAATCTGGCCCAGCCGCGAGAACTTGCGCCACACCTCGTCGAACACCTGCCGCGACCGCCGGCCCAGGCCGACGGGGTTGACGATCACGTCGTCGAGGCCGGCCACCAATGCCCGGGCGCTCTCCTCGGCGCCGGGCGCCTCCTTCTTCTTCCTTTTCGCCTCGTCCTCCGCCGCCGCCGCCGCCGTCGTCTCGTCACCCGTCCCGTCCTCCTCCTTGGCGGCGGTGGCGGACTTCTTCGCCTTCCGAGACCGGCGTTTCCGGCGCGGCTTGGCGGCCTCCTGCGTGGCCGTGGCGGGGTCCTGGTCGACGAGCTCCGCGGCGGCCGGCGCGGTGGGCTTGGTCGCAAAGCAGCACGCGGAGGCGTGGTGGTACCGCCTAGCGCCGCCGATGGAGGAGGAGGCGAGCGGGAGCGCGTGGGAAGGGGACGCGTGGCTGTGGAACGCGGCGATAGTGCTCACGGCCGCGCCGCCGGGGGCAGACGCCCGCGCCGCCACGATGTTCGCCATGCTCTCGCGGTGGATGGCTGATTTTGTGGCGGAATCCGGCGCGGTGGCCGCAAATATTCCCCCGGTGAAATGTCGCTGCCGCGGCTGATAAAGCCGGCCGTCTGAGTGGCTGCCGTGCGGGGGCTCCAGTTGTGGCTGCGGTTGCTGCGCGGGCTGGCAGCTGGAGCACGGGCCAGCCAGCTCGGCGGGGGCCCCGGCGCAGGGAGACGAGACGGGCAGACGGGTGGGCGGGCACGCACGCCACGGCACGCGGGGGCGTCGCCGTCAGGAACTCGTGGCGACTTCCGAAGTGGATAAAGAGGGCGCGCGGGGCAGGCAGGACAGGAGGACGGGAGGGCGGAGGCGTGGCCGCGCGGTGACGGGTGGCGCGGCGCGGCGACGTGGTCGTGCCGGGTCCACGTGTCCAGTTCGTCGATCATCCCACGTGGACGGGACGCTCTGCAGTCAGCACATCTCAGTCTCAACCGTCCGCTGCAATGCAACGGCAACTCCACCAAAGTCACCTTTTTTTTTAAGGATCTCCACCAATGTCACCTGGTAGCCAATTTGAGCGGCCCAAAGTTCTAGCCTTTTTGTGGTACAGATCGCTACTGTGTAACAAATTGTGCAAATTGTAGAGATTGCAATTGTATAACAAATTGTGGTCCTTTTTGCTGTCACGAATGAGAGTGCAAATTGTAGAGATTGCAATTGTGTAACAAATTGTGGTCCTTTTTGCTGTCATGAATGAGAGTGATGCTTTTGTATGTATGTGTGCTTCATCAGTGCCATATGTTCAGAACTAATTTGCAGGTTCAGGTCTACTTTCTCAGAAGTATTGCAATGTCAGCTTCAGTTCCCAAGTTTCAGTTAGTTTAATACTTTTTTTCATCCAATGTCAAGAAACACCAACTTTTAGAACCAGGCAGTCTCCCAAAAAAGTTAGGATTAAGAGACTAATCATGTCTAATCTCTCTTTCAGTATCAAAACCAACAGACAGAATGTTATAAAAAAACAACAACAAAATAAACAACTACAAAATTTCCTCATCAATCCAGAAACCTACATGATAAACACAAGAGTCAACCTAAGGTATGGAGCACTATTAAGTATACCGGTCCAATCGCCATGGTGAAACAATACTTAATCAGAGATATACCACCAGCTGCATGTAGTGCCACTTTCAGGCAGGTGAACTGAGCAAGGAGCAAACCAATAGTGGCTAGAAACGGCTGATTTACACAGATCCTCTTGATCTTCCTGCTTTAATATCTTTTCTCAGGGGGATATATTTTATATGTGCCGTTGCCTTTATTCATTCATACCGACTTGTGAGCTCGTTGCTTCATCATCTCATCAACAGCAGCGCGCCTCCGGGACTCAGACTGCTGTTGCAGCCGTTGCATCTTTCTCAGATGCTCCTTTATGTGCCTGTTTCCAGTCACAACTCAGCTTTCATAGTAGAGAGTGATCGCATAACAACTAAATAGTGCACATGTGTTGTCAGTGCATTGTGATTGTGTTGGGAGGTGCGTGTGTGGGGAGGGGTGGGGCGAGGGTGCACACCTGCATCTGGGAACACTACATTCTGCTTCTTTGCAAGCTCTTGCATGTAACTGGATAATGCTCCACATTTTCTTACACACACGACAGCCATTCGATGCACGTGTCTGGCAATTCTTCCCATGATGGAAGACTGACTTAAGTTTTCGGCAGTTGAGGTACTGACAAGGACCACGGCATGCTGCCGCGTGCACCACAAGTCGAAGCATTGGCTGTGCCTGCAGCACCACAAAAAGAAAATCATTGTAACGGAGTCAAGATCAATTCCTTCAGGGATTAATCAACAAGTGGATAGCACAAGTAACAGCTCAGGCTTTCCATAATAAGTTGACTACATTGGTAAGTTTATTGGTAACACAAAAGGAGCCTCAGCATATCAAACAGACAAAGCTATAAGTTACATTAGCATGATTAATTGGCAACTATCAAATAGACCTTATAAATGTGAATGAAGGTATGGAGCAACTGAGCTTCTCTACTGTGACCACCAATGCTAAAACGGTCACACAACAAAAACGGGACGAATTACAACAAATGTAAGAAATATAATACCATGTCAGCACTCTTCTTTCGATGAGCATCCCTGTCTGCTCCCGCTGGATGCTTCGTTAACTTGTGGAAATGATTGGTCCCTCCATTGTGTTTGTAACAAGCAGCACACTCATCATAATCGCATTCTTTGCACCGCCACTCTTCACCAGTTTTGATATCATTCTTGCAGACATTACATGTGCTAACGAAAGCTGGTTCAGTTGGATTGTGAAGATGATATAGCAACATCATCGAGGAATGTTTTGCAGCACGAAGGGTATCATATTGATAATAGTTTCCTTGACATAGACTCAGGAATGCCTGCCTGGTGTCAAAAAATTCACTTTGTAAGATGCCATCTCTGTCCTTGGTATCTTTAGGCACCCCATCAATTTCAACCTGAATGATGACATCGGGTAAAATATTTGGAATTTCTGACATTGTTTCTTTATTTTTGTCTGGTTAGTTAAAAAAGCTTTCGACTAACTTACTGGATGTAGTGTATGCAAGTCAGCACTATTAATTGGGTGCCTCTCCTTCTCGTCACGCTGTTGTTCTACATTATAACAACTGCAACAGAGCCTCGTCAGTCTCAAAGGTAATAGCAATCACACTAGCTGTTACAAGATCAATTGAAGAATAAAGCTCTGTGATATTTTATTTGATGTTTTCAAGTTGCACCATGTACAGAACCATGATCATGCACATATATTATACAAAAATGTTTTCATATTATTGTACCGCATTATAAAACAAATAAACTCACTTGTCACAAATAGAAAAGCTTATGCATTGATTGCAGACCCAACGCCTTCCAGACACCATAAGGATACAGCAGTGACGACAAGAATACTGCAAATGGACCATAATGAGATCTTCTTTCATTGGGTAAATGGCTTCTCCAAGCTGCACAGCATCATTGATGGTTAATAAGATATGAGAATGCTCAAATAAATTTTGGTTGAAAGAACATATCTTGCATATTTTTAAGAAAAAAATATACCTTTTGCATCAGCATAGCATCCTTTGAAGCATTCCCACTTAAATCAGTAAGGCCAGCAGCTTTCAAAGCTCTTTTTGTGGTAGTCTTCTTTACCTTTCCCTTCCTCAAGTTTTTGTCATCTTCTGGTAGGAAAATTTGGTTGATTATATCTTCTGCAGCTCCAGGCCAATAATCACCATCAAAATATGGCAAGCGAGCTGCGGTCACTTTAGCCTTGCAGTCTGTCTTAGAGTTAAAAAAGTGCTCGTATAGATTTGTCAGCTCAACAACTATACCCTCATCAGTAGCTTTTCGAATCATAGATAAGTACCTGCATGCAGAATAATAAATCATGCCTACAAATGCCAGATATGATATTCATTAATCGTTATTCTAAAGAATCCTTTTGACATGCAAAAGGACATAACGGCAATAAATGGTATTACCATTCTCGCAGTTTTTCAGACTTTGGTGTCTTCTGAATCTCCGGATGACAATACATAATGTAATCATCACCTTTCAAAGGTGGGCATGCCCATATGTAACAACTAGTGAAACCCCGCTGCTTACAATACCGGAGATAACCTATCTGTAACATATACACACAGAAAACTATGGTTAGACTCAAAAATGGAATGTGATACTAGTAATCACACTGATACTGATTATAGTATATTACCAGAATTTCATGGTACACAAACGTTCGTAGGGCTTCACCAGAAACCGTTTGAATCTCAGGTCTAAAATATTTGACAGAATCAAGGTACGACAAATAAACACGACGTTGGTTTGGGAATGCACATTCTGCTCCATATTCTTGCACATATATGCCAAATAGGCATACTTCCACACCATCTATTCTTTGAAATAAAAGAATAGCCTGAAGGAAAAATGGAAAAAAAAACAGATACGGAGCTTTTGTTAGCAAAAGTTGTCTTCCCAAAAAGGTGATCGAATAAATAGTAGTCACATGTGATTTTTTGCTTCACATGACCATATAACTCTTTTACCTTGGACTTGTAAGGAAACTCTATTGGGTAATTCTCTTCTTGAAAAAGCTCCAAAAATTTTGGTTTAACTTCCAAATTCTTGTCCACTGATGAAACAACTCTGACCACAAGCCCCTCTGCTCCAGGAACCTAATGAGGGAAAAATCAGGACAAACAAAATGACTAGTTCTAGATTTTATGGAGACTGAGATCACATGATGAATGCGCATTCCTGGAAGTTTTTTTAGCAGCAATCTTAACTGTGTACTTGCATATAAAAGAAACAAATGTTCACCTGAAGTAGATAAGGGACAAGAAGAACAAACAATACTCAGAAAGCACAGCTGCAACTAAAAGAAAAAGACCTCACAAAACCTTGCACTTGCACAAGAGGAGTTTCCAAGATGTGACTATATTGTGAAGCTTAAAGAAAAGATAAGTTTGTAGGCTCAATGAATTTGTAAAGTATAGCTTTTAAAGACAAAACAGGAAGAAATTAGGTTAGTAATTTCCAGAAACAGCTTCTATTACCAACCTCATTGAAACTTTTCCCGTATTTGTTGGCCCTATTTTGTCTCTCCTCTTTGAGGCGTTGAAAAAGGTGCTCTTCTATATGATCGCTAAGCACAGTCCTTGGCAGATCTTTCGCCCCGGGAACAGTATTATGCAGTAAAGGTGTGCGTGAACCATCTTTTATCTCTTCAATACAGCAACTGTGGCAGATATATTCTGCGTCTTTTTCTTCAGCATTCCTTTTGGCATTAAAAAGAGCACAAATCTGGTGCTGCCAGCGTTCACATCTGTCACATTGAGCCCACTATGGAACCAATTGATTAGGTTAAATTAGTGTGCAGAAAAAAGATGCATAACTATGAGGATAAAGCCGGAAAAGAGGGAAACTGAAATGCTTACTGCTTCTTCAAACTTGTCATTGTTTCTTTTCTTCTCAAGTTTTGACTTGAGAAATTGAATACTGTCCACCAAAACTGAGTCACTGCGAGACTCATTGTAACATGGTAGGCAAAAGTAGTAGGGACCACTTTCAGTGATAGTACCACTATAATATGGTGCATTCTTTTTTATCCGAGCACCACAGGGAGAACAAAATTTAGGTGGAGGCTCAAAAAAGAGCTTTTCTACTTTGCAAAGCTGGCATGAGTTCACATTTTCCCACTGTCCTAGTAATTGATTCTTTTCAGCTTTAGCCTTACTCTGTCATATGAAGAAATAATTATTGCAATAGTTCATACTTCATAGTGACATAAACATATACTCTTGCACAAGCTTAAATTATATCCACATGAAAACAGTAAAACGTGAATCCAATCCAACCAAAAGATTTCTTAAAAAACAAGTATGTGTATAGGTTTTAGAAATTTCAATGGCAACTGCCCATGGTGGATCAAGGTAAAAACTTTTGGCAGCGGCTAGGGTACTAAGGTAATAATAGACATGCTAATTAGGAAAAAACAGGGGGGAGAACATAAGACCAACCTAAGCTTTCTGGATTCAAATCCAAGCTTTCAAGATATTGCACATGGGCATTTCTTATCAACATCTAGAGCCAATTGCAAGAAATACAAGTTTCTTATCTGCTATCATTCAACATCAAAGGTTTTCATTTTGCTAATGCTATTACAAGTTCAGCTCCATCCCAAAATACCTGACCCATGATGTCAAAACAGCTAAAGTGCTTCTTATTTTGCTAGTCAGCAGGAAAATCCCAGTATATAGTATATCTGACTGCTTACTGTTTCCATATTTGAATATGACAACTCCAAAGTCCAACCATCTGATTAAAAGAAACTATTTATGGCTCAGGAGAGGAAATTTTCTGGAAATGTTTTTTTTTTTAAATGCTAGACATCACATGGTCTGATGGTCATGCAAGCAATAGAGAACTCTGTTCATTAACTAAAAATAATACAGTATGCAAGATATCTTTTTTTTTTCTAGTCAAGAATCATACCTGACCAACCCATTGTATTGTACTATGGGCATGTTCATATATTTGCTCTAGAGTGAACGACTCCAAGAGTGAAATACCTTTTCTCTTTTTTTTCCCTGTCTTGGACAGCAAGACATCTGTAGATCCACTTGAATTCATCTTAATATCAATAACACCTTCATTTGTATCTTTGTTTGGCAAACAATTTTGTTGTTCAACATGTGAATCTAAATGATTTGAAACACCAGGAATTGCATAACTTTCCACTGCACCAATTTTCCGAACAGTACCAGATCTAGTTATCTCAAGCTTTGGCGGTGGTTGCATGTCAGTCTCAATCTTTAGCTTTTGTTTTGGATATATCCTTTTATCCTGTCCAAGATGCTTAGGTTGAGCTTGCTGTGACACAAAATCTGGGCATGCTTGAGGAAAAGAGATATAAGCACTATCAGATACATTGGGAAGCATGGGTTGCAACCTTAAACGCTTTGATACAGGTGGTTGATCATCAAAGGTTTCAGCTTTCACCAGTTTGATGTCTATTGTGTCACCATTTACCCCATTGAAACTTCTTTCAATTGCATCCCTCTTGTTTGTTTGATCACAATAGCGGCTCAGACTTTCATTTGCTTTGTTACAAACAGGACAATGCTTATTAACACAATTATTATAGTGATAAATAGCCTCCTTTGATTGCCTGCAGTATCTATACTGGCAATCTATTCTTTGGCAGTCATTAGAATGCTTTAATATCTCCTGTGCACGAACACAGCCTTGTAATTTACAAGTACCTGTAGGACTGGGACAAAATTTTGCATGAATGAAAAAGCAGTATACTTTTGTTGGAAGCTTTGACTGTTTATGATCGGGAGTCATAGCATAACCAGGAAAGTGCCAATTAGATGAAACATGTTGTTCTGCTGCATCTTCTGACATTTCTCTCTGCACCATGTTATTATTCATCAGTTTAGTATTTTGTACATGTGGAGGGAATAACTGCTGAGAATATGATTTGACCCAAATGGGAATATTATGATGGACAAATTGTTGACTGGTATGGTCTATTTTGTCACTATCTTCATTTTCTTTGGAATACATTGGCTCATTATATGGTAAAACTCCTTGACTTGATATTTGCTCATCACGATCAGAACCAAGCTTCCATTCCCTCACAAACAGGGAGCAAGGACGATTAGGCTCAAAATAATGTTGCTCCTGAAATATTTGTTTGCAAGGCAACTGTAATTCCCTAAAGTTAACCTTTTCTGTTTGATCCAATACCTCGGATTTTATAAGAGGTTTTGGTTGAAGAGTTTGATTGGTTGTCTGGCTTGTGAGCAATGCAGATTTCGTTCTTGAAGTGGACAACATATTTGTAGCATCCATGTTCTGATTACCTGTAGGTATTAAGGTTGCAAAAATGGTACCGTAACAATTTCTAGAAACACCCAATGATGCTGGAAAAGAAAATAGTACATTTAATTGTTTTGCAACACCAAATGTCTACAATGAGCACAAGTTTGCTAACTGATAATAAAACGTAACAGGGTAACCCATGTGGAATGCATAAAATTGTATCAAAATGTGCAGCAGTATCTCCAAGACTTTTCATGAAACAAGGCGAGTCTAGTGCAGTGTGCAGACCAGATAGAAATTAAAAGTCACTTATAAGTTCCACATTTCTAAAAGCCACTTACAGTAGGGCACCTCCCCTATTGTATTTCTCCTCAAAAAAAGACAGGAATCCATGTCAAAACGCCTACAACAAATCAAGTACCATTATGCATACTATCTCACATCCAGATCATACTAGTGATTAGGACCTCTATTGACATTTATTGGCAATTTCACAAAAATTAGCATACCATTTTACTACACTGCACGTATTTTTTAACTGAATTTGTCAAAACATGTGGGTTTTTGCTGCAGGAAGATTATCAATGGTTAATCTACTGAAGTATATCAAGTTTCCACAGAAAAAATCATGGCAACATCACCCCCCCTCAAACACTGCTCCGAACAGGTAGTATGATTTGTAGAAGTTGGAAAGATTTTTATTTTTCTCCCTAAATAAATAAAACACTCACAAGAAATATACTCCTCTACTTTTTCGACATGTATTCCTTTTCGGTGACATGGATAAAATTCAGATCAAGAACAAAACTAAAAGCATGTGCATCTGCAGGATTTGCTGCCAAAAAGTAGTACTGCCACTACCAACCTATCTAGATTATAATGGCACAAATGAATAAACAAAATAGCATAAGTGAGATATTGCACATGGAAAAAAATATAGCACACATACTTTGTGTTCCCTGTGGAGGATGACAATTGAATTCTCTTTGCAATGATTTCTCAGGCAAATTGCCATAAGACGACAAATTCGTAAATTCTTTCCGTGCTGCAGCTCTGTTTGATAGCTGCATATTGGAGCCCATAGCACCATTGATTTGTGCATCTGACGAACCATATGAGGAGAAATTCTCCAGGATTCTTGAATCCATTCCAGAGCCAACATGGGTACCTAGATGCTGCAGCGGATAGTTACTTTGGTTCATAGAAAATGGCATCGGCTGCTGCTCCTGCACTAGAGGCATGGCATTCCACTGCCCATTGAGGCATCCAGCTCCATTAGTGCCAATAGGATTGGCAGGTAAAATCTGATGATGGCTAAATCCTGGAGCCTGAACCATATGATCTACCTGCTGTTGCATAATCACTGGACACATCGCTGATGAGTCACTATTAGCGGTGGAATTTTGTGGTACGTTGATGGATGGATCCTGGTAGCCGTTGGATATGGATCCTGCAGCATAAATATAGTGAGTAGGTGAATATGAAAGAACCAACAAGAGGAGGGAGAACATAGTGTCCGGAAACATAAACCAACTGCAGGTAGTTGTAACAGTCATTGAGCTACGTCCTGTGTTCTCCATTCGCACTCACTCTAAGCCATACCAGGTGTTGGAAACATTGTGATGTAGGTGGAGGAACTTGGTGTCTGACGTGACATTTGTTGACGCTGATGACCTTGGCTGGAGAGGGACCTAATAGCAACTTGCAAGCATGGCTCGATTTGTTCTTTCAGCATTACATGGTAGTCAGCCTGCTCATAGGAATATATTTTTCTTTTTGTAAAAAACGAGGAAAGAAGCGCACAACAGCAAAAGCATGGATACAATATACTTAGAGCTGCTTAGAATGAAATGAAATACAAAAGTTTTACCTTCGAGTACAGTCTGTACAGTTCTTCCTCTAACTTCTCTACAAGTTTCTCAAGGCTCTGGCTCTCAGCAGGTTTCGTCTCCTTTCTAAGCCAATCAAGTCTGCCAATGATAATATGGCATTAACAAGCATCATAATTTAATCTTCCGGTTAAACACAAAACCTTTTGATTAGCACCAGTTCTTCAGTTAGTGTGATACACCTTTCAACAACTACCCAGAGCTAGCTGGGAACTTTGGATTTGGCAAGAGGTAAAGCTTACATCTTGTGGCGCATCTCATTGCGCATTCTTGAGAATAGAGGATCCATGCCAGTGTGGCGTGAAGCAACTTGCAGCGGCTGGTGCTGCTGCCAAAAGTTCATCTGAACTCTCTGCCCCGACATCTGCTTGGACAGATGTTCTGTCTGTCCAACATTCATCCTGCCCACCAAATTAGCGCCAATGTATCGCCTTCATCATCAAATGATCAAATGCAGCTGAGCGCATCAACCAAAAAACAAGAATAAACCATGATCAGATTTTTATTGACATACCAGTACAAAGGACCATTTAATAAATAAATGAAATCAGCAATACGTAACAAAAATTCAAACCATACACACGAGACTGATCAACACACCCACCCCGACAACAACAGGACTGCAGACTTGCGTGTAGCATCCAGGGTTTCAGTTGAACCCCAAAATTTTTAGAAAAAAAATAACAAGCAGTATCCCCAAAATTTTCAGTTGAACCAAGAAGTGCTGAACAATGCTGCAGTGGATTAATAATACACCCCTAGAACAAAAATTCACGACCAGCTGAATGCAGCGAAAACACATTTAAAAAAAATAGTGGGAAGAGAGGGTTCAATCACCAGCGGATTCAGCAGCAGCAGAGAGAGGGAGGGAGGCTGGTTGTCCGGCGGCGGTAGGGCTGCCGCAATGCCGCACACCCAGTCCTCCACGCGAGACGCGCGTCGGGCGTCCGCCCCGGCCCTTGCCCTCCGTTGTCTGCGCCGGAATCGGGGTCAGCCGTAAGACCTGATGCCTCAGGCGACTGTGAGTCTGTGACTCACGCCTTCCCCGCGCCGATCACCGATTAGCAGTCGCCTCCTCGAGTCACGGCCGATATCAGGACCAGGACAGAGATGTTCTAGAAGGAAACGTCCGAGAAAAAAAGGCTCTGGTCTACGAGTAACACGTGCTTGTACGGTACTGTATCACGTCTGAGAAGTTGGCTTATAATGACATCCGAACGAAGCGAAAAAAGGTAAACTTTACTGAGCTATCCAATAAAATTTACCTTTAAAAAAAAAAGTAAATTTCACTAGGCTGCCCATTAAGTAATACTCCTACTACACCTAAATAATGGATTTAGATTAAGGCCCAGTTTAGTGGTGGTTTTTAGCTATCTTCTCAAAATAAAATTAGAAGCGAGTAAAGCCAGATTTTTTTTTGTCTCATTAGCCTCAGCTCTTCCATGTACTTTGGCAAGAAGCTAAAGCTAAAGCTGTATATAACCATGCCAAGCAGACCTTAACATGGGTTCTGCAGTCACATGGCCTACATAATCCAAAGGACACGACTGAGTGTCGACATGTAACTCTTCACTATATATGGTGGCATCTTTTGTTTGGTTCCTGACGCATCTCGGGCATGTTAAAAGAAAGTATGGTCTCTTTTGCGTTTTTAATGTTAATCCTTGCCAAAAGTTCGGTGTCTGTTTATACGGCCTATTCGCTTGGTCGTATTTGGCTTATAACCCATAACTGAAAGTACTGTTTACTGATTTGGTGTGAGAGAAAAATAATATTTGTTGGCTAAAAACAAGCCCAAACAAACAGGACGATAAATTAGACGAGACATGTCGTGTTATAACGGACACCAAACAAACTATGACAAGCCGATAATGAGAGAATTAGATAAAATTAGAATCACTTGAAGATCACTTAACGTATAAAACTAATATTGAAGATAACTATATGTATTTTCCGACTAAAATAAGCTAAAAGTTACTCGACGAGATCATTTAGGACCAGGTCAATTTCTATAAACCATATGGTTCAAGTTCATAAAAGACAACTTCTTTATATTCCTTTATAAATTTGGCTTATGCTGATGCTTATGCTAAAATGTTGTGAAAGAAAAATATTATTTATAGCTAAAAAATAGTGTTGAATAAGCTCAAGCGAACAGGGACTAAAATTGTAGTAGCACAACGAACTCTTACCTTGGGTGATCTAGGCCCAGCGATGGAGCTTCTTGGGCTAGATTTAAAAGGGGCCGAACGTAGGTGATGACTCTCTAGTTTCCCACGTTCATTACTACAAATTTGAAGTGCCGAAGCAATGTGAAATATATCTATATCTATGACTACTACAAAAAAGATTTTCAAAGATGGGAGGCTTTTTCTAGAGGCGGGTCAGGGGTCAATATACAGCCGCCTCTATAGTGCCCTCCAAAATATCTATTACCTGTATCTATGACTACTAAAAAAAAGATTTTCAAAACGGGAGGCTTTTTCTAGAGACGGGTCAGGAGTCAATATACAACTGCCTCTGTAGTGGCCTCAAAAATGAGCCGCTCTAGAGATGCATTCGTAGAGGCAGATGTTGTTTCCAGCCGCCTCTACAAATGCCTCTATTTTCAAAAGTGGCTCTATTTCCAGCTGCCTCTAGAAATCGACTTTTAAAGGCGGCTCTATTTCCAAACACCTCTAAAAATATGAGCTGCATAGTAAAATTCAAAATTTTCAAGCAACCTTAGATGAAGAAACGACCAAAACAAAAATTATAGATCTCGAAAAGTTATGCAACTTTTTAGTTCATTTGAATTCATCCATGCATGAAAAATTACAATTGAATTTCTTATATTTAAAATTTAATTATTTTTCAAACGATCTCTGATGGAGAAACGACCAAAATAAAAGTTGTAGATCCATGTAGTTTACTACTTTTTTATTTGAAATCATCTAACTAGGCAAGGAAAATAACATTTTAATTTCTCACATTAGAAATTTGAATTTTTCAAACGACCTCGGATGGAGAAATGACCAAAACAAAAGTGATAGATCTTGAAAAGTTAACGAACTTTTTAGATGACAACTTTTTCATTTGAATGCATTTAGGATCTCAAATAATCATTTAAAAACTGAATGAAGATAAAATAAGAAGGACGAATATCTAAATAGACACAAGTTTCCTATGGATGGAGTGGTTAGGAGAGAATCGTGCGAGGACTGAGCTCGCGGGTTCGAGAGGCAGGTCTAGGGCCTGTTCGGCAGGACTGAAAAATACTGTTCCGGCTGATTGTTGTGAGAGAAAAATACTGTTCTGACAGAACGTGAACAGTGATTCTGTGAGAGGAAAAACAAGCCAGCCGGCTGGCTTTAAGCCAGCCGAACACGCCCCTAGAAATCTGATTTTTAGAGATGGTCGGCAAGCCGGTAGAGACAGCACCTCTGTGGTGCTTTTTTATAGTGATGTATAACTATATCTATATCAGATATTAAAGAGCCAAAATTCTATCTTAAGTTTTTTTTCAACTCTCACTAACTACCTAGACAGTGGAAAGTTTCTTCCGTCCCTCTCTTTTTACATCCCAAACTAGATCCGCACCCTCCGTGTCTCGTATGTGATCCAGACTCATGACTCATGACCATATACGATTTTTAGAACAACTTGCGTGTCTATCGGTGATCGATACAGTCCAATTCTAAGATGTACTGGGTCGTGCCCTTCGTATCTCGTATGTTACACAGACTTATGACTCGTGCTCATATTAGAACAACTCGTGTCTAACAATGATATGAAGCTCGATTCCTATACGTATTGGGTCCCGTTGCAGCAACGTATGGATACATTTGCTAGTGACAATACAATTTCTAGTTAGAGAAATCAAATATATTCCATTTAAACAATCCAAACATACTAATGAACAATTGGCTGTCACTAGATTCCCAGAGAACATTCCGAACTATACCATGGTATAATGGATTTTCACATCTGTAACAAGTAAATATAATATGGAATAAAAAATCATAAAAAACAAAACATACCATTGAATAATAAACTTTCATTACTAGAACAATAGAAAATAGGCCATGGGAGAATAAATTTGCACTGTCAAAATAATAAGTATATGTCTGGTTATACTAATAAACAAAGATGAATTACTTGATTTGCAAAAAAAAATAGTCAATGTACAGGCAAATCGTCAAAATGAAACGACCCACAAACAACCTAGCTAACACTAATTGATAGAAAAAACCCCTCGGTAAAGGCCCAATAAGTTTATTGGCGCCGCCATCCTCCCCTCGCTCGCGGCCTCACGCCGCCCCTTCTTTCATCGCCGCCGCCATATCCAAATTGATGGTGGCCCCTTTGCTACCGCACCTTTCACTACTAAATTTCTGTGGCAGAATCGCCCGAAATAACACGTTTTGGAGGCGCTCGTCTTCCATTAGACACTAAGCACCTCGAAAGTGAGCTATATTAGACAGTTCCGTCGAGCACACCCTAAGGGAAAACTCGAAACCATCCACGTTTTACATCTAGAATCCAATAATGAGTACGAGCTTACAATACTTAGTCCATCTCATACAACGAACGTTCTTAGAAATTATTTATTACAATACCAGAGTTCAGAGTGCAATAATTAAATAGCGGAATGCAAATAAACATCTAGCGGAATCGATACAAGGATCCATCTGTACCCACCAGAAAAATCCTCCATACAAGAGCTACACCTGCAACAGGGGTAAAATAAACCCTGAGTACACAATGTACTCGCAAGACTTACCCGACCTGTGGAAATAGTTTTCCAACTCCAAGGAGTATGATAGGCAATGTGTGGGTTTGCTATTTTCTTTTTGTTTGCGAAAAGCATTACTAATAATTCATCCTTACAGTCCAGTTTTATTAGCAGTCATGATTACTTCATTAGCTAACCATTCTAGGTAAGCACATGTTCTGCTTTCAAGGGTTGAGCAATCAGAACTATTTCATCATCTTTTATCTTTCAGTTCTTACTACGGTGGTAGACCATAGCCAAGTCGTACCGTCTCACGGAAACGGTGATTCGCGAACCAATATATCCCAGCTGGGTGTCCCGAAACACACACCCTGTTTGTACCCTAGGCACAAATAAGACCAACCCATTCCACTCCTATCACGGGGTCCAGGTCCTCATCCAAACTTAGACTCAAAGCCCCCACCCTTGAGACCTGGTCTTAGTATGATGCTTAGACCTCCACCTTTCTCCGTCTCCAATCAGTCGGTTTGGAAAGAGCCAAAACCCACAACAAGAGTGTAACGAGCCTTCCCGCTCCCATAAGCAAGTATATGCTCAGGATAATAAGTCTGTGACCTGACTACCATCCA